GATGAATAGCGCCTAGAAATATTTACCCTTAGAACTATAAATGCTTGGAAAGAGTATATTGTTCATAGCAGTAAGAGAGATTCAGCGTACGGATAAAGCATATCTTACAGACAGGAGTTTGGAAAGAAAGAAGAAAAAGGAATGAAGTTGGTTTACGTATCAAACTATAGTACCAGTCTAAAGGAATAATAACCACTGTCCAAGTCAGAAATAGAAAGGTAGTCAGAAGGACTGGACACCACTTTGGTGTATAGCAAGATCTTTCATTGTGGACAGACTATTTGAATTTGCTTTATACGTCACTGAAATATTTTACGTATTAATGCAGAATGAAGGGTGAAAACAAGGTGCTCATGAACTAAGCTACTGGCCGATAACTGCTACCTTATTGTGGTCATCGGGCTTGAACACTGCAATGACCCAACATGCTAAAATGACTGGGACTCTGTCCCTGCAGGTCCTACCATGTCAGGAAGGTTGTTTGGATAGCGGTTAAACTAAAAGCAGTTACCATGGGTTACATGGGCTCCAGTATCCAATGGGATCAAATGGCGTATGAACCCATATGGGTCACCGGCAACCATGGGAGTGCAGCTCCTGACGCTGCTTCGCTGCCTTGCGGATTAGACTCCAAGTCAAAGGCTCGGGGGTGGTCCCTTAATAAAACCACCTGCTTCGGTCTGGGCGCCCGGGAGTATCTCAGCCCTCACACAATGAATTGAATAAAGCAACAAGCAATCAATGAAACTTATCGCGTGCTATTAAACGTGTTGCAGTTTCCTTCCTTGTTCCCTTCCCAATGACAGTTAACGAATACTGTTTGAACTTGTTAAGCATGACTGTTTTCCTTCTAGATGAAGTTCTTTATCCGTTCTCTACTTATATATATTTTTTTCTCTTCTTTTTTTCTTTTGATCTATGTTGTTTTATTATTATTGTGTGGCGCATCCTTCTTGGTGCCATATTGTACCAAGTTTTTATGCGTTTAAATAAAATAATAAAAAAGCTACTGGTTCATTTGATTTCTTTAGACAACGATAGTCGGAAATATTCTTGCGCATGTCTAGACAGTATCCTACTGGTACGGTCTATGTACTTAGCTCCACAGAAACAAGCGAATTTATAGTTACATATGTAAGTATAAATTCGCTTGTAATGTTCAAGTTAGGCGTAGAGTGTTGGGCAAAGAGGGAAAATCAATAGACGAGGCTATAAAGTTACATAGATTGAGATGGCTAGGTCACGTGCTGCACATGTCTAACCATCGCCTCCCCCGACGGGTATTATTAGCTGATATAGGTGCAGGTTGGAAGAGTAAGTGGTGGCCAAACAAAAATATGGCATCAATCCATGAAATCCTTGACAGTTAAACTGAGTCAGGTAGGGAGATGCAGACTTCCGGGTTGGGGCCTTCGGGACTCTAGGAATCAATGGCTGAAAATAATAGGTGACATGGCTCAAAATCGTTGTCAATAGCGCAGATGTATTCAGTCTCTGTAATCTTTCATATTTCTCTCTACCATTACCCATTCTGTTTCGCTCTTATACCTGTCAAACTCTATTGATTTTCTTCACTCTTCTTGTCTACCTTTGTGTGCTATTTGGAACGTGGCAACTCGAACTGGTGCACTTCGGTGCCAAGTTCTATGTTGAATCCAGGCAGACAGATGCTTACATATGAATGTTGTTAATAAAGCGAATATTGTCCTCAACATTTTGAAAAGATGTGTGGATAAGTATTGTCATATGAGGAGCCCTATGTAAGATTCTCATTAGAAATTGTGGTAGCACTAAATCCTACGAACGCACTCTGAGAACAACTATGCAGACTAACGAAACCTATTACCCAGACTAAACAAGATAAACTAATCTACAAAGTACCTATAATTATATAGGTCGATTTAGTAGACCAGGGTTAGGTTGTCACACGTACGAATTTAGCACAATGAATGACCTTATAACAATGTCCAACTTCGAGAAAATTCCAGAAAACTACAATGCTCACACTAATACCAATACGGTGAGACAGACCTACACTTTAAAGGGTTGATCGCTGATCTGTTAGTCATTGAATCTACACTGAATGCATACAATAAGGATAGCATGACACTAATACCAGAGAGGGGAAGCAATCGACGAAGTAGTGAAGTTACACCCGCCCTTTGACTATCGACGAAAGGGCGGGTGTACTGCTCATCAGTCCGCTCCATCCTCCTTTATGGTTGTGAGATCTGGCCACTGAGAGTAAAAGACATGAAAAGACTAGCTGTCTTTAATCATAGGTGCCTGCGCTTTATCTACATCCCATGTGAAGTCATATAATAAGGTGAGCAACATTGAAGTTAGGCGTCGAGTGCTACGTAAACAGGGGAAATCAATCGACGAAGTCGTGAAGTTACAAAGGCTGAGATGGTTAGGACATGCGTTACGTATGCCAAGCCATAGCCTCCGTCGACGAGCTATGTTAGCGGATATAGGGTCAGGCTGGAAAAAAGCTAGCGGCGGTCAAACCAAAACTTGGCACCAGTCAGTGAAATCCACAACAGTTGGTCTAAGCCACATAGAAAGGTGTAGACTTCCAGGCTGGAGTCCTCGGGACGGTGAAAATCTATGGTTGGAAACAATTGGTGACATGGCTCAAAATCGTTCTCAGTGGCGCAGATGCAGCCACTCCTTGTGACTTATGATTCCAAATGAAACTTTATTGTTCTTCGTTATTACTCCTTTGTCTCACACCTCTGCTCACTGTTTCTATTATGCTTTTCTTGTACTTTCTTCTGTTGGTTGGTGTGCTACATGGAGTGTGGAGACTCGAACTTCCACACATTTGTGTATAGTTCTATGTCGAAAATCAGACAGACAGACAGACAGAATACCCGAGAAAATACTATTGTCAGTAAGATCGAGAAATAGGAAGTAATGAAACTAAAAGTTATGTAAACACCTTCAGATGATAATGAATTGTGCACAAAAAATCAGTAGATAAATAAGAGTGAGTAATTGTTACAAGTAATAAGATTACACTATTATGGAATTATAATCTACCAGTAGCCGAGTTCTATTTTTACTTCATCTAACAGATTTCTGTACAGTCTTGCTGATTCATTACCACCATCGTTCCACACATATCTTCACAATATAGTTATAATGCAGACTGCTGTTATTTTTCCTGAGTCGCTCATGATGCGAATTACCGTGTTTATCTCGAACATATTGGCATAAAAGCCTCGATGAAGTATGAATGCCTATTTTATTGCTGTTATTTTTGATGATACGACTAATTTATAATTCAACCAAATTATCATAAAAAGCCATTTACTGAGGGTAAACGGTATTTCGACAAGTTATTCAGAGGACAAAGGATTATGAGTAATGTAGTAATTGAATATATTTATTTTAATGTACTTGAATAGTCTCTCAGCACCCCATTTACTTTCAGTCAAATTATGGAGTGTCTGAGATAATTAAGGTATGCAACAATTTACAGAAAGAAAGAAGAAAGGATATGTTGCCAGATAGTTTAAATACATTAAAACAAATGCATCGAAATTCCAGTTCACTCACAATGTTGTGTAGAATGATTTAACGTCTGAAGGTATAAGGCACTTTGCTAAGTCACTCAGCACAGCATTACTTCATTTAGATTCGTAGACCTAAGAATAAAACTTAAAACTAGACCTAGGTCAACTGGTTTACTGAATGTGAAGATCGGTCACTACATTCCTACGACCACTTGGACAATTGACTGAACTGTAATTATAACTGATTTCGCAAAATAAGGAGTTTAATTTTGTATAGAACATTTTCATATATACCTTAGGCATTAAATATTCCTTAGTTAGGATTTACTATCTTAGGCTGAATATATTAGCGAAAATGCTGCAAAAATTTCAAAGGCTTTCAAGATTAAAATTTCACAAATATGTCTTTGTTAGCTTTCGTATGATTTTGGATTGTTTCTTCATCAGAGGCACTAAAACGATATCTGACGACTCACAAAACACCATACTTTATAATGAAATGTTAAACAACCCAATCGTACAAAAATAGGTGGATAATGGACAAATGAATGGTATGGCCAATGGCACAAAATAATGGGCGAATTTTGGTTATATGGCATGATTTTTCCCATTTAGCCTAACATTTAACCAGTATCTCATAATTCTAGCTATTATTTAACCATTCTATGCGCATTATTATTAGACAGTGGGCCGTAATATCTAACGTACTTCACTATAAACTCATTGCGATATTCACCCGGGCTGACAATAATGCTTGAGTAAACCTCATGTACTATGAACCAATGCCTTTCCCCTATAGTGAGTAAATCCAAAATTACATTCCGTAAAGAATGTTACTTTGTGCTCAACACATACTCGGTTCATTTAGCAACAGATACCATTGTCGAGACATACTTAAAAATAAGCTTGGTATTACTCTAAGCTTGAGCACAAGTCTTTGAAGACTGTTTCAATGCCTATAAGCCACGCGTGGTACTTCCGTGAAGAAATCTAAACACACTAAAACGCGCAAAACGTTAGAAAGAAATGTAAATCTCGACGGGAAACTTATGAATAGGGAAGTATTACCAGAAGACGAGATAATGCACTTTCACTGTGGAATTGGAAATACCACTTTTCCTGAATAATAGTAACTAATATGATACATTGCTTATGTCGTAGCAACGCTTGAAGGTTCTACCTTACAACAAATCTAAACTAATTGTAACATACGCATCAATAGGGAATTTTTATGACATGAATATTTTATCTACTTGAAGTGAACCCAGTATGTACTGAAATAACCTTGGTCCTTTAGAAAAAGGAGCACTGAATGATGAACCTGGGCTAGGAGAGCCGCAATAAGGCTGATAATTTACTTTTTGAAATGCTTAGAAGAAGAGCAAGGTGGTGTATTACAGCCAGTCATGTTGATAAACCAGAGCACAGTTCCAGTTTAGGCAAATAATCAATGGCAGAACAGTTACGGGGTTTACTTACTAAAGAATGTTACTATATTAGCATAGTATGCGTGAATTAGCTCAATGATTGCAGGTTAACCATAATCCCTAATTAACAACATAATAACTAGGAACTTCAGACTAAAAATAAGTTTAATAGCAGCATCCAGTGACCTACATCCGAAAAAGCCGGCAAAGTTCTACAGTATCCAATATCCAATATCGTTTTTACGAGCTAGTATAAACCAATTTGATTTCTTTGTGCTCGCTTCTTGATTGTGAGGTATAGGTTCTTGATCTTCGGTAAACTTCTGCGTAGCTTGTCCCGCCACTCGACTGTCGTAGCTTTGGTTGACTCCAAAGGGAGTAGTGCTGGGATTAATTATATGTGGTTTGTAGTATGAGGTATGTTAAGACTGTTACTACTGTGATTGGAGTTGATCCTTTCGCCAGTTAGTCCTTCGGTATTGTCGACAAGAGAAAAGAGATAGTAATAATAATAATAATAGATATAATTAGTGAAGCTATTCAGACTAAGAGACAGAAACGAAAATAGGAAACGTAACAACAGTCAGCTCATGAAGTTTGAAGAATAATATATATATCGGTAATAGTAATAATAATAATAGTAATTATAATATTAATAAGTTGTCAGGAGAGTAAGACGGGAGAGAATGTAAAGAAGTAAAATGACGAGTTTAATTATCTACCCTGATTGGTAAATGCGATTTTAAGGAGATAGGCCATTTGGATGCAGTCCTTGTATCGCTGCATGGTTGTCCAGCCTTCGCTTAAAGGCGTCCAAAGACGGTGCCATAGCTACATCTGCCGGTAAGGAATTCCAGGGACGACAAACCCGCAGTGAAAAGAAGTGGGAGCGCACCCGGGTCCTTGCCCTCTGGTGAGCTATCCTTCTGGGATTTCCACGTGGAAGCCTATACCTACTCAATGGCAGAACACCTTTGTTTGGGTGATTCTGGTCATTTGTTATTTTGTAGGCAGTAATCAAATCCCCCCTAAGCCGACGGTAACTAAGTGTGAACAGGCCTAATTTCTTCAGCCTTTCATCATATGGTTTGTTTCGGAGACCAACCACTCCTTTTGTTGCCCGTCGTTGGACTCTTTCCAAGAGGTTGGCATCTCTTCTCAGCATTGGGGGTGCAATAATATTATGCACCTCAAGGTGTGGCCTGACGTATGTTTTGTACAACATTAGAAAGAGCTCAGGAGTGAGTGCACCTAACTGTCTATGCGTAAAGTGTATGACCGCATATGCCCTCGCTACATCCCCTGTGTAATTTACGCTTGTGTCCATTTTTTCCGTTAGAACTAGACCTAAGTCGCGTTCCGACGTTGTGCAGGACAAGCTTTCATTGCACAGGGTGTAACTTGCATTCTGCAGTCTACAGGTGCGCAACTTCACTACTTTGCACTTTTTCAAGTTGAAAGTCATGCCACTGGCCACCGCCCAGTCTTCCAGAAGGTTTAGGTCTTCCTGTAGCCTATCTGAGTCCTCCGGACACTTTATCGCCCTCCATATTTTTACGTCGTCAGCGTACAGGAGAGTCGGGCAGCTCAGACGGCGTGGTAGATCATTGATGAAAATCAAAAACATCAGTGGTCCTAGGATAGAACCCTGCGACACTCCTGATGACGATCTGTGCCAAGATGATCGGACTCGGTTAACCTTAGTGCAAAATTGCCTGTCGGCTAGGTAGTCCTTCAACCATGACAGAAGTGGCTCACCTATGCCTGCCTGGCTTATTTTATGTAGGAGAAGGTCATGGTGAACAGTGTCAAATGCCTTCTCAAAGTCTAGGAAGACCACATGGACTGGTACGTTCAAGTCCCAGCATGATGTCCAGTCGTCCCAAGCTGACAGTAGGTTAGTGACGCAGGATCTGCCTTTTCTGAAACCATGTTGGGCTTCATGCAGTATATTAGTCCTATCGAAATATTCCCTGATGTGGTCGTCAATAATACTTTCCAGTACTTTTGATACCACTGGGAGTAGAGCTACTGGTCTATAGCTAGCAGCGTTTTGCCTGTCCCCACCCTTGAAGATTGGAGAAAGGATGGCTCTTTTCCACTCCCTTGGCAGGGTCCCCGAATCCATTGAGTGTTGGAACAAGTCGCACAGGGGTCTACAGAGAGCCTCGGCGCACTGTTTCAGAACAGATGGCCTGATGTCATCACAACCTGGGGACTTCCCAGGTATGAGTCGCTGTAGCTTCCTTAGTACTATTGCGGGGTTTATTTGGGGAGTAGTCGCTAGGTCTTCCTCCTCTGAAATAGTGGTGCCACCATTTTGGTCCGTAACTGTAATATCCACATTGCTGTTTAGCTGTTTAGCGAAGGCTGAACTGAATGTTTCAGCCATCTCCAGACTAGTGAGATATTGACCGTTTGGGCCTACTAAGGCGCATGCCCCTTGGTTTGTCGGTTTTCTTTCCGACATGAATCGGTACAAGTTTTTAGGGTTTGATAGGAGTTTTTTAGCAAGGTTAGCCTGGAATGACCTTCTGTCCCTCCTAACTCTTGCATTACACCGGTTCCTGAGTTCGAGGTATGCATCATGGTCGGTCTGACTCTTAGATACACGCCACGTAAACCAAGCCCTCCGCTTTGCTTGCAGAATACGTTGCGTGCCTCTCTTCAACCATGACGTCTTTCTCTTAGGCTGTGTTGTGACTAAAGGGACGGTATCCGAGATTGCTGCATGGATAATCTTTTTTACCACTTCCCAGTGTTCATCCACAGATAGGTCGTCCCATGCTAAGGGCCAGTCTGCGTCGGACAAGAGCCTCCGCATTTCAGCATAGTCAGCCTTGCTGTAGCACAGACATGGTCGCGTAACATCCCATTGCAAACGCTCACGGAGGACAAGATCGAAACCTATGACTGCATGGTCACTGCTTCCCAGAGGAGTCATGATCTGGACCTTTTCGACGAGTAGCTGGTCACTAGTTAGAATATAATCTAGTTTTGATGACTTTCCACTAGGGCCCCACCTAGTGTCGTCTCCAACATTCTCAGTCAGTCCCGTGTTTCGAATAGTTTGCAGTAGGTTTCGGCCAAATTTTCCCTTAGCACACCCGGAGCCGAGGTTCAGTGATGGAGCATTGAAATCTCCAGCTATGGTGATTTGGTCGTAGCCCAAATCTCGTATTCCTGTGATAGTGCTGAGCAGTAGCTGATTGTGCTCTGCCCCACAGGTGGGAGATCGGTAGATGCCACCCAGTAAGTGCTTGGTGTGGCCTACGGTGAAATGACACCATATGGAGTCTGGGAGTTCGATAAGTGGTGGGTCCGTTGCGCGCACACATTTAAGTTGCCTATCAAAGTATATAGCAACTCCCCCTCCTTCCTTATTATCCCTGTCTCTCCTGACCAGTACCATATCACCTATACTGATTTCATTGTCGGCGATAGTGGGGTTTAGCCACGTTTCAGTAAGAATGATTATTTTCAGTTGAAGGTGTGCTTGGAGATTTCGGAGTTCACCTACTTTCCCTCTCAGCCCCCTCACATTGCTATATAGGCAACTGACAGTGAGTCTAACAACCTCAGAGTGTTGTGGGGTAGTTGACGTGAAACCGTCTGCTGGTGGGGGACTTGATGTTGGAACTAGTTGGCCGATTCCGATAGAACCGGCCCGTTGTAGTTTTTTTCAATGGATTTAGGCAGGACACTTGGGAGACACAGACTATTATTCTCAGAGCTGCATCGCTCTAGTGTCACCGAAGCTTGGGGTCGTATTAAAGCCTCAGTTTGCTGCCTCCTTATATTTCTGGGTCTGCTTTCACAGCATCGGATGTGTCCTCCAATTTTTCCCTTGGTCTCATACCACCGTTGAAGTGATATGGACAACTGCTCCGGGGAGTTGAATGTGACACACAGCAGCTTTGGAGAGTTAATCAATGTTAGATGAGCGGGACGAGGTAGTCGGAAAATGGAGATGGCTCCAGAAGCGCCAGGGGCCATCTGAGATGACAGCCATCTCCATTGTTGTACGTCGTGCATGTGTTTTTCACAAGCAGTGCCGGTTTCCAGCTCCGGAACACCGTGTACCACCATAGAGGTGGAAGGCATCAGTTCCGGTGACTCCCTCGCCATATTTCTGACGGCCCATGGTCTATCTTGCCGCGCTCTTATGTTAGAACTTCTGTCCAGGGCTAGTACCTGAGCCATTAACAGTACTTTTTCGGCCTCTTCGGCAGAGTCCAGTGTAACCCGTAATGGGGGTGGCTTACCCTGAGGCGTGTGGACACCCCTGTACAGTCTGCACAGTTTTGCTGAACTAATGTTCAGACCTAGTTTGCCACACAGGTTGGACCACTGTTCCTGATCAAACAGGGCCCGTTGTTCGAGCAAGCTATCCGTGCTCACAGGTACGTTAAAGAGGATGAGAGAGTTAGACCGACTACCCTCAGACTTAGGTTTTGCCTTCGGCTTCTTGCAGTCCTTTGCATCATTAGCAACATTAGGCTTCGTCGGTACCTGGACAGCCTTTTTTGTGTTGCCAGGCTTGCTAGTGGATGCAAGTGGTGCCTTTGTAATTTTGCCCTCCCCTGATGTGGATGGAACCTTGCTAATCTTCACCTTGTGAGAATTGGCATTTCCAGTCAGTAGGGCTGGTGTGTCCTTCTTTAAGTCTTTGACCAGTTTCGGCAGTGCGAGTTTAGCAGGGGGGAGCTGCATGATACTGTGTTGGGGCACAAGAGCATGTTATTTCTGCTATCCGCAGACACGCTTTGTGGGACTATGCCAGGGCGACAAAGTGGACACACGTACCAAAACCATGGGCATGGGTTATTTCTCATAAACTCATAGTATGCTTTCGGTACTTCTTTGTCACAACGGCAGTGCACCCATCGTTTGCAAAAATTACATTCAAACGCTGAATCAGTTTTAGAAACTGTAGCGTCCCAAGGGATGCGAACGCACGAGTGACCTTCCAATATATCCAATATCCTGATTACGAGCTAGTATAAACCAGTGATTTCTTTGAGCTCGCTTCTTGATTGTGAGGTAGAGGTTCCAGATCTTCGGTGAGCTTCTGCGTAGTAAGTCCCGCCACTCGACTGCTTTAGCTCTGGTAGACTCCAAGAGGAGTGGTGCGGGGATTGGTCAAGATGTGGTTTGTAGTATGCAGTATGTTAGGACTGTATTGCTG